GGAAATTCAGGTGACCACTAGCCCGTTTCCATGTTACAATATAAAAGTAAGAAAATGTTGTTTTTCATTAAAATCTGGAACTATAGGTAACATAGAAATTATAATGAAAAATATTCTAGAACTTCAAATTATTCTATGAAGTTTTTAAAAAATCTCCAATCAAGGCATATTTTAATGATAATTTAACAATTAATTTAAGCATACTAACTCGTAGACAAAGTCGCGTTATACACTTGTGTTGCTTTTCAAACTGCCCACATCCTTCAGACCCTCATCAACTTTACCATTCCTTACGTAACGCACGCAAAAACAAAGCTTTTTTTTGTAGAAAAACGTCAGCATAACGTAAGGGTAAAACGTTTTTCAAATACTCGTTAATTTTCAGGAAGCGTTTGTTAATTATTTGCTCGCTCAGCTTAGTGAAAATTATATCGGAATTACTTATCTTTGTTTGAATTTTTAAAACCAACGTAACAAACATTTACATAAGTTACGTCACAGGCAAATATATATTTAATTTATGGAATCTTTGTAATGTATGACAACATCTATTTTAATAAATAGTGAACACCTTTTAATAACACTACTTAATTCTTACAAAGCCTTTTTTCTTCCTAACTTTTATTTTTATTTCGTTCTCTAACTTAAAATAAATTAACTAGCGTCACTAAACTCACAATTTCAAAGATTAGTTTACCTTGAATTCTAAAATTAATATAGAATCAATTCCATTACCCCAAACTGCTTTAATTTATTTATTTTAGTATAGAAAAAAGCTTAAAAAATACCGGTCAGTTAATTTACCTCGTGGCAGAAAACTCGTCTCGCCTCTGTACACAATCCTTAGTAAACAACTTGTCTTAATTAAGATCGGACAATGTAATTTTGTTGTTTGTTACAAGTTGTAAGAGCCGTCTGTGATTTTACAAAGAAATCAATATCAAGATAGTATAAAATACCCTTAAGTTACTTATTAGAAAATCTGTTATTTACATTAAATAAATACGTATTCATTATGTCTGCATGCCAATAAAACAAGCGACTGTAGATTTCAAAATGGAACACGGACAAATTCCCTGGTAGTACCTTGCATATTTGCAGACCTACAATTTGTGGGTTGTTCTAAAAACATGTATAAAGCTTTTCTAGTATGTTAATCTCTTGTAACTTGAGCCTAATCCGTTACACGATAAGCTCTACCACTTCAAATGAGTAGGCTATTTGAATTTTAAACACACTGTTGAACTTTTGTGAGTGTTAAAATATGTGCGTGCTAAAAATAAATTCAGTATTAGATTACATTTTCAAAATTTGAAAATTGTTCATTTTTTTTCATTAATTCCTTTGTTTGAATGATGTTAATTGTTCGTAAGTCCTATCTTACTTCTTACTAATGTTTAAATGCAAAAGTTTACATGGATGGACTTTTGTTAGAGTTTGTAGCATAAACTGCTGATCGCAGCTCGATGGCTTAGATGTAGAGGATAGCCTGGAAGAACTTATAGGCTATTTACTATTTTTTTAATTCAATGAACGGAGTCGCGGTAAATGTTAGAATTTATAAATCTTTTAAAATATATAACTAATTTTTCTTCGATTACTCATTGAAGAGTCGTCAATAAATTTCAAACGATCCATCAGCTTTATGCCTCATTAAGCAGAGATTGAAATTAAAAGTTATTTTATTTTCTTCTTAAGTTTGTCCGACGGAATTTTCTCTTGAGTTATCTTAAATTCTTTAGAAATTAATAAGAAACGTATTTTACTTGAATTCAAATAACAGAGGTAAAAATGTTTCTATTCAATTACCTATTTGCTCTTGTAGATGAATAGTCAAATGTCGAGAAAATTTAGTTGTAAAGCCTGACGACAGTTAAGATACAAACCAAAAATCTCAAATCCTAAGCCCGAATCTTCTTTTTAACTCTATAATTAATTCAAACCGAGAGTTAAAAAAACTAAAGTATAGAATAATTTTAATATTCGCGTTGAAAAGTTGTCGTCGGTACGTAGCGTCACGTTTTCAACGACGCCGTAAAGAAGCAATTAATTTGAATAAACACGACCCGAAAAAGACAAAAAAACGAGACTGTTACTTAAATGTTCCATTTGAAATTCTCTCTTTGTGTTATCGTTATGCGATCGTTAATGGCGTTTTAATATCTCTTTGGCACCTCGTTGGGAGTTCCCCGTATCATTTTACAAATGCTATTTGAATACCAAATTTTATGACTGCAACAGTCCCGTCCAGAGATCTTACATTACCCTCTAAAAATAGCAAATGTCCTTAAGGAGAATAAAAATCTATAACATCTAATATGCCAAGAAAACATTTCTTTAATCAAAGTACTTGTGTGTAACTCGCAAAGACTAATCTTTGAGAGCTACGTTGTTTATAAATAAAATCCAAGACGCAGTTCATGATACAGCTATACATTTAATAAACTGAAAACACACGACTAAAAAGGATAACTCGCGTCATTCCAAAAATAAACGCCATCCACACGATTGCGAGCAAAAAGACGCGGCATCCGCGCATCGGGTTTAGATGGCACAGCTGCTCTGTTCCAGAGGTATCGATTGCAAAAAGTACACTCAGAGTTAGAGCGCTGTGCACACAGGCCCTTGTTAACGGTTAGAGTTACGATGTTTTTCCGAGGCTTTAGGCGCCTCGTATCGCTTCGAATCGTTTGCCATTTGTCTATCAGATACAAAGATGTAGAAATATCAACTATGTAGAAATATAAAGAATTTGAGATTACTTCATCATTATCTATAACCTGCCCTTGTCCTTTAAAGAGAGTGGGCACAGTATGTTCAACTTTCCATACTTCTATATCAGCTATCATATCTCAAGACTTCTTAAGCATATCCTCTTTCACAAAATCCATCCATACTTTCTTCGCCCTTCCTTTAACTTTGTAGCCATTGACATTACCATATAAGATTACTTATGGAATTCAAACCCAACATTTTCCAATCTAATTGTTTCATTCCCAAAATTTTGTTCAACACTGCCTTCAACGGTGATGTTTTCTGTAAAATTGTGAAGGATTAACAGTTCGTCCGGCGCAAGTATCACAGAAGGGTAATTCATATTTTAAAACCTCTTATTTCAATACAATTTTAGTGCAACACTGCCTTTATTTTCCCCTCTCTAGATTCAACCAAGAGCAACAAGAGGAACTCGTTACTGCGACGGATTACTTGGAATCGCGGCGCACTGGAATTTAGACCAATTGTTCATTTCTTATTTTGTACATAAAATTTACATGACCTATGTTCTGAAAGTTATTTTTCAGTAGAATCAGAACTTGATAAAATGCACAATAATTAGAAAAAGCGATAGTCATTAAGTTAATTTGAGACAAATAAATGTCTGTTCCTTTATGATAAAGTTAAAGAAATGTAAATAAAGTCGAAGTCACTTTTTAGAAGTTACACAGAAAGTATTCAAGATGTTGTTTTCAACAAAAGATCGCGTTCTTTTGTTTATGCGGTGAGTTTTGAAGAATACAACTCTATAACAGAGAACGTTACATTTCACAATGGTATATTTAGAATTTAAGCTCTCCAAAATTAAAACGAAAGTACTGACAGCTTGTCAACCGCCAACCTTATTTTTGTGACGCTAGTCTAATAAGCGTTGACAGTTTTGGGGGGCCATTTTTACTCTAGTTCTAAACACGCTCATTAGGCTTAGGAATTTATTCAATAAATTTTCGGGTAGCTGATATAGCATCAATTTCCTATATAGATTGAAACATACAGCTCGCAGTTGGTCCCTTGAGTTGTCTTATATTAAATTGCTGTATAGTTTAATGCTGCTGTATGTTATAATTTATTTAAAATCAACACACTGGAAGCTACGATTATCATAATAGTTAACGAGATAATTTAGAGTGGAGAGCTTCCTCGGCATCGTCCGGATGTTTACCGCGCGGGCCGCGAGCACGTGGCGCGGACAGAAATAACAGCCCGGATAAGTGCGCGTGCCCGAAAACGAATGCACGTGAGATGCTGTTCGGTGATTAGTCTTGAGATAATTGTACAAACTATTAATAAACAAATAAAAGTCCAATATATCACAATACACGTTAGGAATCACACGATATAAAACTGGAAGCTTGACAATTGAGGTGCTAGATAAGATAGTGAAGTAAGGTTTGAAAAAAAAAAAATTTGACACTATATACAAAAAACCAATACGTGCAGAAAATATATCCACATCTTACTACTTGTCACCGTGCAATGGTAATTTTATGTAAAGTAACCGCTTTTAAATTCGTAGCTATGCAGAACTGCTCAGTTGGATTTGCAGTCGACGCAAAACTATTTCTCGGTTTAGCTTTATAAATACTGCAAACTGCTCATAAACATTTACTACATTCGATTTGAATGTGTTAGTTAATTTTGTACGTAATTTTAAGGAAATGATTTTTATTATCGGTTGAATAAAAACCATTAACCGAAATCGGACTTTGTTCAAAAGGCTTTTGCTTTTAAAGTTATGGATTAATATGTTGTTCCCTTTTGATTTTTACTCCACTTATCTTCAATACTTCAAATACCATTCTATCTCTTCCAAACGCTTATAAGATTTGTATTTCGAATGTTTTCAAGTATATCACTCAAAATATTCTTTCTTCTCTATGACAAATGAAAATAAAGCTAATAGTGAATAGACAGCAATAAACACGAACAGATCATCTCTGATTTAAACGCTGAAAATAATACACCAATGAGATCATTGAAAACATTCAAAATTAAAAACATAATTGAGACATCTGTAGTTGTAACAGAACATAGAACAGTAACGAATTAAATCGTATAATTTACAAGCCTATGTGAAGTGTTCGACTGTTAGTTTTACAGTATCTCTGTTATGTTCTCCCCTCTGCTTCGCAATCTGTAATATTTCGGTACTAGATGGGTGCGACAGTTTGGAATCGGTCCAGTCGCGCGCGCGCCGTTTAGGTTGCGTATAGTGATCAGTGTAGCCCGGTCTCATAACAAAAATATGCGTGATGAAAAAATTTTTCATAGATTACATAAAAGTGATCGGAATTGAGACAATAATTCTCAGTTTAAGTGCAGTTCGAAGGTGTGCTAGAAATGTGTTTGTTGGATTATGAAAGTGTTGATTGCTTTGATTGTGTTAAATGATTTTTTGAACTGTGATTTGAATATTTTTAGTGAAAACGCACGTGCACGTGAATTAAAAGTACAAAGAAAAACAAAACTGTATTATAGATTTTAGCAGTATTAAAATTGATCTGGACATTTTGTAAAAATCTATTTCAAACATAAACAATTTATAGTCATTACGAAAATTTCACTCCGGAATATTTCCCGAATGTCGTGTAAGGATCAAGCGTGACTCACGTCCACGTCCAACGGCAATAAAACCAAAGAGCAAAACGAAACAATAAAATCCATACTATTCTGAGACCGTGGACTGAAAAGCGAGCAATTCGACGGACATAAACAAAATGGCTTCGACCCGGCACGCGACACCATTTATGCACCACAGTATGTTTATTTTTGTTGCTGTCTCTTTCATACTGCCGATGGTGAACGAAGGCGATGCAAAGGTATACGACAACACGAGAAACTTCGCGAATGAGGAGAAGAGGTTGACAAGAGAATATCACCTGCGGCAAGGAGCACTGCGTGGACTGATAGTGAAACCGGGCCGGCAGTACGATCTGCAGCAAGTGGAAATGTTCTTAGGTATACCCTATGCCGCTGCTCCGGTTGGATCCTTAAGGTTCATGCCTCCAGGTAACTTATTAAATATACTTATAAACATTCAAAAATATTATCATCACAGAAGTTATGAAGTGAGACCAATTGTTCAAAATCCAATATAGATTTGATGGAGAAGGACAGATAGTAGCACGCGTGATATCCTCTTTATGCGTGTCTCCACCTTCTGTTAAGAGTAGGCAACGGATCTGCAATTGCGGATGTCTACGTGCTCGTGCACTTGCTTCTCCAATTTTGTGAATTCAGGTGACTGTTTGCTTATTTGCCACCTGGGAAATTAAAAAAAATAACAGTGTCACGAGCACTCACACTCCGTTTTATTTCGTAGAGGCTTTGCTTCATATTTGCTTTGTAGTTACATGGAAATTCAATAAAATTGAAACCAAATAAAAACACAATAAAAGTTCAGTTCACCAACACGTACTGCAACATTAATGAAACCATTAGAATACAAAATAAAAAATCCTAAGTAAATAAGAAGCAACCGAGTACAATATTCTTCAGCACGTTTAAGAAATAAAGGGTAAAGAATTAAACATTTAATAATGCTTAAAATAATGAAAGTATATTTAGTAAAAGTCGTTTGGACTAGACACCAAAAAAAAATTAACATACAGATGAAAAGTAAACTCAGACCTCTGAATAATAATGGCATTGGAATTGTAAAATACGCCTGATTTTTTGTGTGAAATAGACTTTGTTTTTCACAAAATTGTATAACATTAAAAAATTAATGAGACTTTGAAAGAAATATTTACTTTCATAACACTTTTAGGAGTAACAACTGAAAAAAATGCTATTGAAGATTTTCAATTTCACGGCCACGATGCTATAACAATAACCTTTGTATATATTATTAGTATATTCATATTATAAAAAGCAGGTGCATTTTACTTCTTGTAATTTCATAAACACATGATTAACCATAACATACTTTACAAGGATTATAATGATTATTAAAACTTTATTATTATTATTTAATAATTCAAAATAAATACAAACGTTAGTCATTTATATTGTTTTTATTAGAAACTTCTATTGAGCTTCATCGTGCATACTTTAGTGTATATCTAGCGACCAGAGAAGTCTGCCTTGAGTTAATCTGTTGGTTTCTTTACTACAGAAAGTTCTGCTATTCAAATATGATCTTTATTAGCACAGTAATAAGGTAAGAATTACAGTGTCATAAATTTTGTTGCAGTAAGTGCGCCGCCCTGGTCAGGTGTAAAAATGGCCACTCGTTTCGCGCCAGTATGTCCTCAATCATTGCCAGTGATAAAAAAAGGAGATCCTCCGTCACTAGGAAGACAGAACTACATGAACAAATTGAAGCAATTCCTGAAAGAGGAATCAGAAGACTGTTTGTATTTGAATATTTATGTTCCGTATAGAGGTAAGCGTTTTTTTTAAATATTTATTAACCAAAAAGTTGTTTTCTAGCCATCTTAATAACGTTTTTTCTACTGTATTCACATTTTATCAAATTTAGATCAGACTAACTTTCGCCCGCGACTTCGTCCGCGTGGAATTAAAAAAAAACAGAAGTGATTTGCCTATGTGTTCTTCCAGACTATCCTCTACGTCTATGCTAAATTTCATAGAGGCTACAAACTCTAACAAGCATATATCCATCCATCTAAACTTTCGCTTTTATAATGTTAAGTTAGATGTCATATTTTAATTCACGTACTTCTTACGGATATCTTTAACATAAGCTATCCATTATTTTCTTGGTCTTCTATCTTTGTTATGTAGTGCACTAAATACCAGGTTCTACAACCTACTTATACCAGTTTAAATTAAGTTAAAGTTTGTTAAGCTTTATTAATATATCTGTAGAATTACTACATTGCATTTTCATGTTGTTTCAAAACGTTAGTAAGTAAATGCAGCTCACACTGAAGGCTCGTCAAACATTCCGAAGTAGGTCATTTGGTGAAAATAAATGCTACATGCAAGTCACTCGCTCTATTAAAACGTCTCGTACATTTGCTTGAAATTCAAGCATCCTAATAAGCCATGTTCTGGTGAAAAATTTGCATAAATTCGCAACGAATGAAACTTATTTAAAAATGCTACGCTTCATTTTTATTTCAACAAAATGTATGATATTTTATTACCACAAAGACGTGAGGGAAATAAAATTATCAACGTACTTTTAAGTAAAATTTATATTACTGACAGTTTTAGTATAGCTTGTCATCTATATCTACACTAAAGTTACAAAGAAGTAAGATTTGTATTTTTATATGTATTGAAACAATTGAAAAACTACTAGGCAGATTATAAAAATTCTTTCACCGTTAGAAAGGTAATTTATCTGTGAGTACATTTTACTATTTTTTTTTAATTTCACGGGGACGAACTCGCGAGCAACAATTAATGCATTGATAAAAAGATATTCAAATAATAAAAAAAATCCCTACACACTCGTTAGTAACAAGCAAAAACAAAAGGTATAACAAATTAAATTTTATCAATAAATCTTTCTTGTTGTTTATTTGTTTACCTTTTTTAATTTAGATGCAAATATTTCAACCATTCCTGGCATCGCTAATGTTTTTTGTATTGGACAAACAAAGCTATAAAAAACAGTGCGATGGATCCGGCAACCCAATTTCTAGAGTAAATACACGCCAATCAATCTTTCTGTTGTTCCACCGAAACTCTATTTCTTAAAATAGAATAAATATTTATGCTGTAAATAAGGTATGAAGTGAATTATTTTCTTTCACCTCAGTTTTATTAAAGAACCTTTCTTAAATTGCTTCGTAGCCTGGATACTTAAGATATTCTTAAATTTCCGAATCCTGAATTAAGAACATTTACTAGATTTCTATAGCATTTTAGTCTTCATTAGAAATTATTGTTATATTTGGAACAGAAAACTTTCAGAAAATCCTCAATTCTGACATCTTACTAATATGCGAAAGTTTAGGTGGATGGATGTTTGTTGCCTTAACCGCTGAACGGATCTCAATGAAATTTGGCACAGACATAGAGCATAGTCACAGAGGTTAATTTTTATCCCGAAAATAGTGACGGCTCCCGTAGGATTCATTACTTTTAAAATAATTACTTTAGTTCCAAAACAAAACATCGAATTATCTTTTATCCTGATAAGAATAAAATACATTCATTCAAAACTGCTCTGGTAATCCAAATGATAGTGTCAGGCAATGTAATAAACAAAATCCTTAAAACAAAAGACTAAAAGCCTGTCCCACAACTAGCTGATACATGCCTTAAAATGACGTCACTGTCAGCTAAGGTAACAAAATCCGATATTTCATCACATATTATACACGTTGGATTGTTATCAGAGAATTTGCAATTTAGTGGGACAGGCCTTTAGTACTACTATAAAGAGAAAATGACGTCATAGACTACTAATCCGTATGGCAATTTAGTTCAGAAATACTTAAAGAACATTTTCACCAGAGATGCTAGATATTTATATGATTTTTTAAGCCTGTCACCAAACTGTAGTACACATGCCAACGACTGTCAACAACGAACCATGATCCCTAAATCTAAAATTAGTATCGGACTAGAAAACTTTGGCGTTATTAAATGAAACGTTTTACCACAAAACATTTATTAGTTGTTTATAAAGTTTCATTAATATATTAGTAGATGAAGTATGTTTGTTTCTTACTAAATAAGAGGACAGATTCTTAGGGCTTGTCCCCACAAATTGTAAATTGTCTAATAAATAATAAACAAATAAAATAAATAAAAACCTCTTTATTGCCATCCAAGGATACACACAGAGTTGTACAAAATAAAAAAAAACATACGTAAAAAAATTGTAACAGATGGCAAAAGGGGAAGGCTCAGCTTAGCCGATACTGGTTGAGATCCAGTGTCGAGCTGGTTTTCAGCCACCCCCCTTCCCATGATGTAAAAGGGAGCGTAGATAGTCGGAGGTCGCTGTACACTAGTAATAAAATAAGCTTAATAACCATAGCAATTGTAATAACAAACCAATGTGTAAAACATGTGATGGAAATATCGAATTTGGTTCCCTGATCTGACAGTGACGTCATTTTTAAGCTGTCCGAGCCTCTATCAGCTATTGGTGGGACAGGCCCTTAAAATTTTTAATCGGATAAAGATAGATTCAATACTTAAAAAGCAACTATTGGTTTTTTGTGTTTACTAAAAGTGACATCGATTCTAAGTACTTTTGTATGTATTGATATAACTCAAAAAACTACGTTATCAATGAGTACATAGTACATAGGCTATACTTTTTATCTTCTTTTTATTTTAAGCGGACGAAGTCGCGAGCAACAGCTAGTCTTAAAAAACGTAAAAAATTAAGTAATGTTGCAGTTAATACTTTCCTAAAATATTAAATGTTATCTAAAAGAAATATGAAGAAAAACGTAAAGACCTAAAGAAAGTTGTACTGTCCAACTTGATGTAAACTTGGAGAATTCTGAACGTTCATTATTTTATCTAAACAGCCAATCCAACTTTGTAATGAAGTACAACTTTCATGTTTTAGCTTAAATATTATGGAACAAAACTCTTTCAGTCAGGTGTCTAAATATACTTATCTATCTTCGTTACTCGTATATTGAGATTACTTATGCTATTATTTCGACCTATTTAACTTAATTATTCTTGCCTGCAAATTCTACTTAATGGTTTAAAAAACATTACTAAGTTACACCTTGTCCATCCCCATAACAGATATTTACATTATCTGTGCTAATTGCAGAAAAGTTTAACCGTTTTTGAGTTAGTTGATAACAAAGGTAGTTTCTCCTTTGACAGATCCACCTTTTTTTCGGGTATCGGGGGAATCTTCGAAAGATACCCTGTCTTTTTTATAAAATTTATAAGTGACTGGTGGATTAATCTACTAATCAATCCAATAGGAAACAACAATTTAAACATATAAATCTATTTAACACTAGCTGTTGCTTGTGATTTCGTCCGCGTAATAATAAAAAATACAGCCTATGTTACTCACAGATAAATTACCTTTAAAATCGACGCAATAGTATTTGTTTTATTTCAATACATACATATATACAAATCTTTCCTCTTAGTATTACTCCATAATATTAATATACATGTACTTTTTGTGAAATGACGTTAATATTTGGTTCACTACGTAGGTATATCTGAATACCATCTGGTACCATTAATTACAAACAGCGCATGTCAAAGTTGCTATTTTACCGCCAACTGCTCTACATCGTTATTTAAACGGAGAATTGAGATTGAACTAATTGACAGTACGCTTTGTATATATTTAGAGTAACGCTTGTTGTACACAGCGAAAGCGAAGCCGAAGCGAAACTTAAAGTACACGAAATACGTATGAACATGTTAACTCTGTGCATTCCAATTCAATTTACGACTTTATAGCAGATATGATGAAGATATAAAAAAAATAAGAAACAGATCACGATATATTTATCTATCTTATAATGAGGCTTTAGGTTAGCGTAATTTTAATAGTATTCAAATAAGAAAATTTATTCTATTATGAGTTTTTTAATTAAATAAAGTAAAGCGAATTCCACACCCACGTGTGGGCAAACGACTTCTAGAGAATGAGGGCACGTCCACCGCATTATTAGTGTCAGTTGGCAGATGTGATAATTCTGGAAATAATTCACAGATTTGCAGGTAAAATTTCCTAAAGCTAAAGACTTACAAAAAACATAGCCTTGGTTTATTAAAAATCATTTTACCTTCGATCTATAAAACCCTTTGGTATGTATTATTACCGGGATAAAAGTATTAAAATAAAAATGCATAAAGAAAAGCCGACCAAAGTCGTTAAAGTTTAAAATTTCTAGATATTTTTTTCCATTCTGATTCGATACGCATACTTCAAAGCGAAACGGCCACACAACCGCTAGACTATAGTCAAGTTATTTAAATTCTCTAAAGATAAATAGCCGTGTGTTCCTTTATTAAACCACTTACAAAACGTGTTAAAAGCGACACATCTATTTTCGCTCGTGTTGAGAATTTGGACACACGACCGCGACGGAAACGTTTATAAATAGTTACAGTAACATGTGAATCTATGCGCTGGCGCCACCGAAATCGTTAACACTACTATATTTATGACATATATCAAATATTATAGTTGTTCCCAGCGATGAAACGATGATAGATATTAACTACCACTAAGATAAATTACATCGTAAATTTTACATTTTCTTAATAGTGTATAATTCTAGTCTGTGTCTCAGCATCGTTGGCTAAAGTCTAGTAAATCTAGTATTAAGGTTTTTTTTTATACTATAAAGTGGCAAACGAGCAAGCGGCCATCTGAAACCGATGAAATGGCGAAGCGACCGCTGGCTATTGACATCCGCAATTGCAGATGCGTGGACTACTCTTAAATGACGGAGGAGTCGC